CAGAAGGAGGTCCCAGCCAAGGTGGCAGATTGGTTTCGGTGGGCTGCCTCCTATTGTCATCTCATCAGCTAGTGGTGTTGCAAACCCACTGATTTTTTTGAGTGGAAAAAAACAAAACCCAACAACAAATGCTACTTTGCATCACCCCAAGATGGAAGCAAAGAAAATACACCTCCGGCCTTGGATTTGCCAAGGTTGGCATTCCTTTCCCACTCTGCTCTGAGCTAGACCTTTGGCTTTTACCTCCGTCGTGTTGATTTTGAGGCTAAGTATTTCTGAACTGCAGCTGTGCAGCTCAGGAGCCCTAACGGAGCTTTGCTGTTTTACACCAGTGGAGCATCCTATCTTGAAGGCAAAGCTCAGGAGAACTCCAGCATATAAATGAATAGAGTCCAATTTCCAACCAACAATACTCATTTCAAGGCCAGGATCTTTCAAACTCCCCGTGCTGCCACGCATTACCTGCCAAACCTTCCTACGCTTGCGGCCTGGAACAATACCAGAAGAGTTGATTAGAGTTAGTCAGTAAATAACACAGGATGAAAACAAATTAGGTAGTAAAAGGACTCTTGAGAAATTAGGAAAAAAGCTCTATAGCCTTTCAACTTATTCATGATTTACTAGAAAGTTGTATAATGTAGCAGGCCTAAGAGCTAAAACGCTTCTAAGGCCAGAATATCCCAATTTGAATAGCTAAGTTGTGTACTGAAAGCCTGGGGAACTGTTTAAAGTAAGCTAAAAAGAAAACCGACACTCCCGCTTCCCCCCGCCTCAAACCTTTGATTAAAAAAGCAACAAAAATGCTAATCTTCTGTGGTTAAGCAGAAAGGCTTAGAATGTGGCTAACAAACAACATGAATTATTCAGGGACAAGGTTACTGCTATTCTACACACATCGCTCCAGAACGTGAGTGCAAAGCCACACAAGCACAATAATTTCTACGGGTGTTACAGTGATAAAATAGATTCAGATAACTGCCATTAATTGCATCAACATAATATAGCCTTTCTGGATGTTTAAGGATCCATAACAGACTCTATAAAAATGGGGGCCTCATCCCAACCTAAACAGGACAGCTTTGACATGTTATACAACTCCAGTGGGAAAAATACTACCTTGTGTTGAATAGCTATGGTCAGAATCAGCCCCATTCCTCAATCTGATACTGGGCAAGCATCCAGGAAGGTTGAAGATCAACAATCAGATGAACCCATTTCAAGTTTCCAGGCTCATAATCATTGCCATCTTTCCTAAATCCAGAAGAAAGCTTGTCTCCTTGCAGGCTGAATTTGTACGTGTATCTATGGACAGACACATTTCTTTAGCAAGAAAAGGGAAGGAGGAACAGAGTGACCAGAGCGTTTGTCCAGATCTCAGACCACAGAAAGGAACACATTAAACTCCCCACATTTTTGGGAGGAAAGAAGGAATTAGCAGCCTCCATCAGCCTAATCCTCGACTCAGCTCCCAGAACAGGCAGCTTGGGGTGTTGCTGAGAGGCACTGGGGTGCCTTTGGCTGTCCTGTATCTATCTTTGCCATGTACCTGCAGGTCCCCTGCTACTGTCCTGTAAACCCCTTGGCTTGGTGGGTACTTTGCCATGTCCCCTGCTACTGTCCTGTAAACCCCTTGGCTTGGTGGGCCGTTTGCTGCCCTGCAGAGCTCATTGAGGAAAGCAGCTGTGGCCTGATGGGGGGAATCAGGGTAAGGGACACATTAATAAGCTTTTCTAAGGTGGTTGCACACAACCCAGCAGCTCTGAAGCACAAAGAGAGCAGGGCAGCAAGTCCTTGAAAGTGTCTCTACCAAGCACCTCCAGAACCAGGGGCTATAGCAGCCTGGTTCCATCTGGCTGTAAATCAGCACCCTCAGAAACAACCACAGAGATTTCAATACACATTAGTAGCTCTGCAGAGGACCAGTGTTTACCCCAACACACATAAAACAGTCCCAGAACTTACCTTAACTTTGGGATCCACAGAATGCTGCAATGCCTGCAGTCCTGCTAAGGATCCCCCAGGCCCAGAAAGCCCCTTTATTGCCACTGGTATCTACACAGCTGTGATTATCATCTCAAGGGAGACAACCAGGTGCCGGTCTTAAGGGGAAAATCACCTGATGCTGCAAGACAGCAGAATGAATGATCAAGAAGCCGATGTTGTAGCAAACAGCAATGCTGTTAATTGCACAGCTGTCTGCAATGATTTGGTTTCTGTCAGTGAGTTTTGGGTGGGGATGAAAAGTAGAAAAACAGTCACAGAGAAGCTCAGTTCCCAAAAAAAAAAATAGGTAAAGCTTCCAATTAAACACATAGCAGTCAAGTTAAAATTATAGGTGACAATTACTGTAACTTGATTAGGCACAATAGCAAATTCACTTCCCTAAATCACTTTCACAACTCTCCTAGGAGGTCTGAAAGATGTAGTATATGAGGTTCATTTAATTTCTAATGTAGTAATTATCACTACTGAATAAAAAAAAAAAATAGCGGTGACAGACCCAGGAAATAAATTTAGCACTTGAGGTTTTAATAAAATTTTTATGTGCAACCCCGTTGGTTAGAAATTGTTTAATCAATCTTATCTGGTTCACAGACTTTCTGCTGAGCTTTTGCTTCATGTTATTGCAAGGCAATATGCTGCAGCACCTTCTTAGCATCCCAAGTTGCAAAGCCTAAACACTACTGCTATCCAAAGCCAGGGGAAGTTCCCGTTTCAGTTGTGAACACGCTGTTTTGTTTGCGTGCTGCCCGTTGTTTTCAGGTTGTGCAGCCACTCGTAAGTGCTGGTGACTCAAGAGCAGGGTCCAGCCCGTTCTGCCTCGCTGCCCTAACGGGGTCTCTGCTCTACGTGGTGGCTTATTTCTATGGCAGAGGGAGCTCTAGGGAGCTTAGTCAGGTGTTCAAGAGAATAGTGTGTAGGAGACACTGCTGGCCCTTTCTGAAGGAGCTTCATGTAACGCTTCGAGGGGTATCCATCCCAGCTTCTCCTGGCCCATCCAGGCTCATCCCGGATGCGATGGGCACACCTGGAGGCCAGTCCAGTGGTTTGCTCAGAGGAAGTGGAGGCAGATAAAGAAACTAAGTCTGTGATCCACAACTACTGGCATTTCTGAGATTTTCCTGACTCCGGAGGTTTTGCTTAAAATTTGAATTTTTCCCAAGCTCCTGGGCACAGGCGGAGAGAAAGCTGAACCCACATCTCCTGTCCTGCTGCTTGCAGGGTCACTGCCCTGCATAAATTAAGCTAAAATGGTTTATTTCTGTTTGCAAACCAGGTCAGTGTGAGTAGCAGAGAGGTTAAAATGCAGTTATTAGTATCTAAGAGGGAAAAAAAGACAGTGTATTAGTAGGAATCATGGCCCATTTCTTCATTTCGATTATTTAACCTAAAAAACCATCTCCACTGTTGAACAAGATGACTCTCACTGCCAGGCTGCTTAAAATTACTCACTGTTTTAAAGCGTGCTGGTATGAATTACTTAGTGCCATTTTAATTGGGCTTCGGTACCATTCAGAAATCCACAAGAAGGAGCAGGGCCAGGCAGCCTGTCCAGCACAAACAGGGCTGCCAGCACCAGCCACTTGGCTTTCCCTAATTTTGTCCGTCAGGAACAGGTCCTCTCCCCCCGCCAACAGGATTTCACTCTGCTCTTTCTCTTTCCTGGCACTCTCTGCCCAAACACACAGAACAATCAATCATCCAAGTTGGTTGTTTTGTTTTTTTTCCTTTTTCTGTTTGCAGTCAGTACACTAATAATTCCTGGAGTGACCCAGTGGCTAACAGGTAAATTGATAGCCCCCAAATCAATAATAAAAAAAAAAAAAAAAAAATAAAAAAAAAAAAAATAAATCAATAAATATTTGGGCATCATCATAAACAAAAATCACTCAGGAGATTAAAGCATTACAACATGGTAATTTGAAAGGAGAGAATAAACTGCTGCCCAGAGAATTAATGTAACTTTCTTCAATTGATTTATTTCAAGAAAAACCATGGAGTAAGCGATATTTTGCCCTGCTGCATGGTGGTATAGTTCATAGAATGTCCTGAAAGTCTTCCCAGATGCAGCCAGCCAAATCAAGCCATCTTCATCTGACCTGTGAGGATCTCTTCTCCACTTTGCTGCTTTCTAGGACACACACCCCATCTCCCACCCGGCTGCCATGGCCAAGGGGGTTTCTGCCTGGGGAGCACTGCACAAGGACCCATATTCCCCACCTGCAAAGGAAGTTTGCTCGGTGAATGCATCTGCAAAAAAACACCTCTTGACACAGTCTGCTGCCTCCTGGTCCAGCCTTTGGTATTTCTCTGCCAAGGTTTTAATGCTTTTGAGGAGTTTTGCAGGCAGGGTCAGGCAGGAGGGGCAGCAGCAGGACTCGCACCAGGGTATAGCAGGCAGGAGACTCTGCAATGATGTGACCAACACCATCCAACATCTTCCAAAGCCTCTTGAGACCGAGAGTCAAAGATGTTGGATGCCACAAGTCCTGAGTGATCAACTGGGAGCCCCTCCGAAAACAGATGATCAGAGTAAGCAATCACTTGAACCAGGCACCCCAAAATCCGTGTGACCTTCAGAAATCTTTGTTTTCACCTGTCAAAGCAGCACCGAAGCCATCAAAGCCATGACAAAATGATTAATTAAAGGACAACTGATGATACTAATTTTCTTTCTTGACTTTTTAAGTTGAAGTCGGTGTGTCATTTTGACATACTAAACACCTACAGCATGTAGATACTCGGTGTGTTTCTACTTTGACACCCACATGGACGCTGACTGAGCCCCAGCGCAGGAGAGCGGAGAGGGAAACTGTCCTTGAAATATCCGGGATGCAGAGAAATTCTCACCTGCATCTTCCCTGAGAGCTGGCAGCGCTGCTGGGATCCGAAGGCCACTGCTGCCATCTGGTGTCACTGTCACCCCATGTAGGAGAGCTGGGACCGTGTCAGGCTGAAGTTGTATTCACTCAAGCTGGATAAATGAGAAGCGATTTGGTCCCAGACATTGAGGAAGGACAAAGTCTTCGCTGGCAAGGGATGGCTCTGCACATCTGAGCTGCCTCGTGTCCATCTTCATCTAAAAGGAACAAGCTTGTGTGCTTGAAGATAACAGAAGGAGACGTAAGAAAGGAGAAGAGAAATTGCTTAAAAGGCTCTTTGCTGAGAGGAGAGATGGTCTAACAGTGTGAGTTACGATCAGCAGTTGTGGTCATCCTGCTCCAGCAGAGACACGGGGGAATGCTCGTGGAAGGGGGAGGTTTGGAAAATTACAGAGAGAAGGGGGAAGTTCAGAGATCTGGGAAATCAAACTAGAGCCATGTGGGGAGGAAGAGGCAGCGGCTTGGTCATGAGTTAAATCTTCCAAGACTTGATCTTAAGTAGTTTTATGTATGAAAGCAACATTTCCTTAAGGTTAAAATGCATCCTCACTGGGAATGGGGGACCATTTGGAAGAGAGGACAGCTCTTCCACAGCCATTTGTTGTGCAGCGTTTTCCTGGTCTACCTTTTGTTTGGTTGCCAACCCTCAGATGCCCTGCAAGCCCTGGTCCTGTAACTACACCATCTCCTTCACCAAAAGACAGCATTCATATAGACATTCCTTGCACTTTCACAGTCCTAGGGGACAGCCCTGTTCTCTCCTTCGTCCCAGCACTCTGACCACTGTGGCAGAACATGCCCCCTGTGTGATAAGTTCAAGTTTCAAACCCACTTTCCTCCCTTTCCCAGCGTGATGCTGACTCCAGGCTGCCCGACCAGCATTTGTTATACAGGGCTGTGGAAACTTGGATTTGGGACATCATTTGGGGCTGAACAGCTTGGATGCTGGGGACAGTGGTCACAGAGGGCCACCAGAGCTGTGGGAGCTCGGGCACAGCACTGGGTGCCACCACACTGCCCCAGCTCCCTGCAAGCACACACACAACTCTCTGCCATGCTGGGTCATTTTGGAGCCATCCAGGGGACATTAGTGGTATTAATTAGGTGACCAGGTGTGTCATGCAGTTTCCTCTGACCATGATGCATCACTGTGCTTATTTTCATCAACTTAACTCCCAGGAAAAAAAAAAGTAAATAGTAGTGATCTGGGAAAAGGCTCCTTTGCCTCCTGATTTGCCATCAGAGTGAGAGCTTGCAGGGCTGTGTCTTGGAGCTGTGTGTGCATTTGCCTGTGGAAATCACTGTGGTGCATCAACATGGGCCTGGGGGCAGCGTCAGGCCCCACGGAGCACCAGGGACCTCCCTCCAGGGCTGGGGGTCAGCTGGCTGATGGGTTCACTGAACCCTGGTAAGAGCCCGGCTAGCAGGAGTGGTGTGTTTCTGATTTATAAGTGTTTCTGTTACATGAAGGAGTGATCTATTTCAAAGAGATCAGTGCCTCTTGTCACCACAAAGGCCAACCTCTCTTGGCATGAGCCAGTTGAACAGACACTGGATGCTGCAAGACCCAGGTGACATCACAAGAGGAGGGCCTGTGGCCTCCTATTCCCTCAGGAGACAATTTTACTCAGCAGGGAATCAAGCCAACAAGACTAGTTATAAATTTTTTAAGTGATGGCAGTGGAAGGACTCACTCATCACGTCCCTTTTGCTGTCTACAGGTTGGAAAGCCACAGCTTCTGGCTGAACTGCGTAGCACTGAAAGCAGCTGACTCAATTCACCAGCAATTACAGATCCAGGGCACAGATTTGCACCAGGAGAGATGCTCCAGAATCTCTCCCGAGGGGCAAGGATAAAGTTACATTTAAGGCTATTTCCTAAACATTATTCTGGTGAATGCCCACTTACCCTGCCCACTCCCAGGCCTCCCAGTCTGCTCAGCAGCCGTGCACATCTGCCTTACAGCCTTGGCATGGTCCAGGCAGCTCCACAGGTGTCAAACCAGGAGAACAGGAGAAGGTCCCAGTTGCTGAGGCTGTTGTCCATCTCAGCCCCTGCAGCAGAGATCTGCTTTAAGGTCACTTTTCTCAGAGGCACAGTGATATCTAGTTATGCCACCCCACTCGTTAGATATGGTTATAGCTCCAGTTCTTTTTTTAAGTAGCAATCACGATGCATGTTAGCAAAAAACTTGGGGTTTTTGCAATCTCACTTGTCCCCAGGGATTTTTCAGCCCTGTAGCCACACAGACACATCTGTGCACTTGCATAGGCATAAATGAGGGGGTACAGTAGCAGTGGTTTAATCATACAAGGATTTAGACATGGGCTTTACTTTACACACTGTGAAGAGCTCCAAAAGAATTGCAGGAGGATGATAAATGGGGATTAGGAAGTTGGCCAGGGGTGTGGGAAGAGCTGTGTTCAATTCCCTGCTTTGGCAAAACATCCTTTGCTGTTTTGAGCAAATCATGTAGGTCCAGCGCCTTGAAGCCTCATGGGAGTTACTCTTTTACATCCCCAGAGACTTAACCCAAGGGCCACAACTGTAAAATGAAACTCTCCTGCCAACCAAGGTGCCCAGATGTTAAATCTCATCATGGACTCAGGTGCAGAGCTGATGGGACAAGAGGGACTGTACATCAAGAGGCAGATGGGGTTTGGGGGGGCTGGAAAGGCAAACAGCCTGGACAACCTGGTGCACACCAGTTAAACTGTGGACCTGCTTCTAGAAAAGAAGAAAATATCTTCTGGGAGAGTCAGTGTGGATAGAAATAGGGCTTTGCATTCATTCCCTTGCTACTTTCTGCATCATCCCAAATCTCAGTGTGGCCAGTTCCCTGCCGCGTCCCCAGCTCTGGGGTCCAAGAGGGCTCCAGTGCAGGGATCTCCATGCTCTCTTGGATCCAGCAGAGCCAAGGAACCCCAAGAAGTAAATGCAAGATTTTCCAAGCCCTTCCATTTGCTGCAATTCCCGTTCTTCAGGCACTGCCCCATAAAAAAATAGATCCACAAGTTACACATGAAATAAAGCCAGCAGAACGGGAACAATAATTATTTGATCAGCTCCCAGGGTATCAAATAGCAGTAAATTGAGCTTCAGTTAAAAAGCAGACAATTTTTAGTGTCACACTGCTACATTTTCAAAGCTAATTTAACTATTCCATTAAAAAATGAAAACATATTCAAATTAAAACACCCATAAGATATGAAAGGAGGGAAAAAAGCCTCATTGGAGAGAGGACATGAAATGCATCAGTAATTTCCCATCAGGCTACAGTTCCCTTAACTGGCCATGACAGTCAAAGATGAAATAGAAATTTCTATATCAAACAGGAACACAAAGGAGTGCTGACCTTTGATCAAATGTCTGTTTGTAGTTTTGACAAGAAAATTTGCATTAAAAGAATTTATGCTGGACACTTACAGGAGAAGTTAACTCCCAGCATGTAAAGGAAGAGAGAGGTCAAACCATCCTTAAACAGCCTGTCAGATGAAAGCTGTGCTCTCCTTGCTGCTGAGCTATGTGAAGTTTCGACCCGTTCGGGCTCTTTTTCTGAAATCCCAGTGCTGCGAGTTTTGCGATGCAATTTTTCAAAGTGGTATTTATGCCGGTTTGGGGAAAAAAAAAAACTATTTCAGGCAAACAAAGGCTTTCTCACACAAAGAAAATCCACTTTTAGCATAGCAGCAGAAGGCATATAAAAAAAAACATCAAAAAGCACTGATTAATTATAATATTTAAGCTATAGGCTTAGCTGATCCTCCTTGTTTTCCAGCAGGAAAAATTAAAAACAAAGAAGGAAGCAGGCTGAGAAGGGAGGTGTGGGTCTGTTTGGCCCCAAAGCACCAGTTTGCAAGGGGGGCTGCTGGAAACCTGCCCCAGAGGCACCGCTTCATCATCGGCCCCTGCTTGAAAGCAAATGTGAGCTCACAGCGATGCTGCTCTGCCTGTAAGGTGGCAGGTGTCGAAACATTCCGCTGAGAAATAGCAGATGAACGAGGTATTTTGAGGTGGTTACGTAAATAAGAGGAATTTGTGGAAATCCATAAGAATGGGGAGATTTGGGGGTTATCTTGTCAGGGAGATTCCTGCTGCTTATTTGAACTCCTACTACAACCACGCAATAGCAGTCATTTTCATAGAGGTTTTTACAAAAGGTCCCACACGGTGCAGCTAAGGGATTTACCACATTCCTTCAGCAAATGATGGCCTCTCCAACACATGTGATAAGCTCTTGGATTGTCTCCTTTCTTCCTTATACTTATTTCTTTACTATTTCCAAGGTTGTCCCGTTTCCTCACAGGCATGGTTTTGCAGCCTGTGGCATTCCACCCTGAAATGTTCCCCATTAAGGACTGGGATGGATTTTTGGGTGCTTCCAGGTCTCCCTCATCTGTGGTCCTATACTGAGGTTTATTACTGCAATAATAACCACTTCCATGCCATGGTCTACTCACAATCATTGACACATTTCGTTTGTTAATTAAAGATAGCACTGAAGATCTCCTGCATTCCCCCAAAGGGCTGTCTTGCCTCTTTTTTTTGCCTTTTAACTGGAAGTTAAGCCCTGTGAGTGCTTTCCCAGTGGGAACACTTCCCCAGGTGGGTGTTCAGGGGCACCTGGTTTCCAGCTGCCTGCGAGATGCCCAGTGCAGCCCAGCCGAGCATCCTGGGTCTGGCCAGGAGAGGTCAGTGAACACACACACAGAACCCACAGTCTCCAAATCTGGCAATAAAGCTATTGTATCTAATGAAAAGAAGCATTTGGCAGTTTCAAGCTCCAGAAATAGGAGATAGACATCATCCCCAGGTACCAGAGGCTGGTACCAGAGTTGGTTGTCCTTTGGAAGGGTGCACCAAGGCATCAGCGTGGCCTGATCCAAGGGGAGCTGGCAGCCGATCAGGGTCAGCAAGCCTTCCAGATGTGCTCCCTGGACCAGCAGCTGCTTCAGCCTTTCCCATCCGCTCAACTGGTTATCCTCCAAGATAAAAATTTCTCCTGGAAACATGCAGGAACCAGGCTATAAAATTTAAGTGTGCAGTCCTGCTAGGGCTGCCAGCAGTGGAGGTGAAAATCTCACCCAGGGTCTCCAGGTGCCAAGTGCCCTTGGAGGGGAAAGTGCTAAACACTTTGGGAATACTTCTCAATACATCTCAAACTGACATGTTTTCCATTGGATAGTCTTTCTGCTTCCCTGTCTATCTGGCAGTTAATTGACCTGCAAGAGCCCCAACATCCAATGCTCAGTAAGGGTAACAGTGATCTCCATGCTGCATGTGGGGCACAGTGACACCAGGAGATTGCCCTCCAGAGAGGAGTGGGGATGGGAAGAGAAACTGGGCTGGAGTTTTATAGCAACAGCTCAGTAGCCAAGAGTTCTGTGCTGCATCTGTTCTTTGGAGTCACTAGTCTCATTCCTTGTTCAATTCATTTTATAGATTTTGAGGACTGTCCATGAGCCCAAAACATCTATTTCCTAAGCCTATTATGGTGTGTGGCTTATTTCAAATATTCACACTCTTGGCGTTTCCTCTCAATGTGATTTGAGCTTCAGCTAGGTTTTTCCTATTGCTTAGTATGGGTCTAGTCCCAAATCCTTCAAAGTTATAGGAGACTTTTAGCAAGCTTAAGCTTGAATCAAGCATCTAGTTTGGTCATCAGCAACGCTATTGATACAGGCCCTTCCTTCCAGTGTGGGGCCCTTTATAGGACAGGGTTACAAACACTATGTTGGCTCTTTAACATATTTAACTAATAGATAGTAGTAGATACATGCTGATAACAGGAACACACACAGTCACTTACCCTGGGCACTACCAGAATATTAAATTATTGGTTAGGAAGTGGAGTGAAATGCTTCTGCTGGGAACGGGTGCCCAGTTCAAATGCTATCGTGGCATTTGGGTTAGGAAGGGAAATCTCCTGGTTAAAGGGTACAGAGAAAGAATTTCCAGCACCCAGAAAAAGCAATGTTGGAACTCGTGACTGAATTAAAGCTGAATTAAATCTTAGAGGGGAGGATCTTGGCTACCATCCCCACAAGCAGACTTGCCTGCCCCATCCTCTCCTCTTTCTGCTGCTTCCTTAGTGCTCAAAAGAAAGACTTCAGCTGAGCAGCTTCAGCTGCTTTTCCTGCTGCTTGGAAACTAGGAGCAGCTCATTTCAAGCAGATATTATCTGAGTTCATTCGAGCTATACCATTTCATGCCAGTGACGAATCTTGCTCTCGAACTCCAGCTGTCGGAGTTGCCATCCAAGAAAAAAACACATGCCCTAGTCCACCTGCTTCTTTACCCCAGGATGGGGATCTTCCTCCTGTGACCTCTATACAGCGACCCCAGGGATGGTGTAAATGAAAAAAGCCTATATTCAGGCAAGCCAGAGTCTTCCAGGAACCCCAGGACAGAGTTGGTGATCACTGGAAATCATCTTTTATGAGTCTGGAAGAGTCCCTACCTGCTCCTGGAGGCCTGGGCATGCACAAGGATGAAGGAAGCCACATCCTGAGCATCCTAAACTTCTGCAGCTGATTCCCTACCGTAAGCAAAGAGAGAAACTTAGGGGTGAGAAATAACCGCAGTGCTTGGAAGGCGAAGTCCAAGTTTAATGGCTAAAACTTGTCCATAATAAATGCATTTCCACCCTGGTTCCTGACTGTGAGCAAAAAGCAGCCAAAAACGGCATATGAATTATTACTTGCTGGCCTCTGTGACCAAAGATTTTGACATTGCAGGAAAGCAAAACCATCTGGAGCAGAAGGCTGGGAAGGGTGAGGCTACCCAGGGCAAGGGCAGCTTTCTGAAACAAACCGTATTAAGCCACAGGAAAAGAAAAGAAATGTTCTGCTTGAAAAAAAAACAAACAAAACCATGCACACAGCCCCAAATGACAGAAAAAGGAGCATTGCATTGAAGAACCAATTGACCAAGCTACATTTAGGACATGCAACACAGTGTTTCATCTTAGCAGGTAGGTGGAGTTGGAAGCAGGCTTTGCCTGCTTTGGGGGCACCAAGCAATGTCACAAGCAAGAGCGAGTGGTGGCCATCGTGACCAGTAGTCACCCTCATTGGAGGTTCCTGCACAGGCTATATTACATGGCTGTTAATTAGAGAGCAGGATGCCAAGTCATAAAAATCCAGATGTTCAAATAATACATACGCGTAGCCTCAGTCACTAATATTTTACAAACCGAGGAGCGCAGCAAAAGCAAAGCACTTCTGTCAAGAGCAGCTGATCTGAAATCAAAGAGCAAATTGCTCAGACAACTTGTACGCCTGTTAAAAAGTGAAGTCGCTCAAACAGCAGATTACAGCTGAGGGAGAGCAGCTGTCATTGCTGCAAATGCGGTGGAAGGAGCTGATGGACACACAAAAGAAAAGGCAAATGCCATCTCCCCAGAGTGAGAAACATCCAGAGGAGGATTTCTAAGTTCGGATTTGTCAAAAGTGTCTTAATTTGACAATAAGTCTCACTTATCTGGGGATTGGTGGGAATTGAATCGGTCCTTGTGCTGGTGAATGAGGAGGAACCATGAGGGAGGGTGTCAGAGCACCTTCACCTCTTGTACCACTCCCATCGGAGGAGTGAAAAGAGCAAGCAGGAGAATTTGAGCAGAGATTGATGGGAAGAAGTGCAGCTGGGATGCCCAGGTCTGTGAGGACAGCGGTCCCTATCATGAAGAGGTTAGGGCTGTTCAGGCAGGAGCCCACCCCACTGTGCCTGTGTCTCCAGGAGCTGGGCTGGCCCCACAGCTGCCTCCTGTGAGCACTTCCTAACCCACCTGCTCTAATACACTCTGAGAAAGCCATGAGAGAGGATCTTGCAGCCCATGCTGCCTCCCTTGCCCTGCCAGGAGAGCAGCAGTGTGTTCAGTGTGCTGGGACCTGGGGGAGGCTGGATGACCAGAGACCCTACACCTCACCTTTTAGCATCTCTCTGCAAGTCTGAGTGGAAGGAGGAAGCTCCAGCTCCCTCCAGTTAACCAAACCTCCAGAGCCACCCCCAAGGTCCCTGATACACCCCATGAGTGGGTACCCCATGGTGAGCACAGATGGTCCACCATTAGGAGCAGCTCTGCAGCTGGTGGCAGCAAGCTCAGAGCAGGTTATTTTGGGGGGTGAGCTGACTTAGCTCTCAATATCCAAATATTTCACTCTAGGGAGGTGGCATCTTCTCGTCTCCCTTGTCCTATGTATTTGTTGTGGTTTGGTTTGCAATGCAAAGCCATAGAAGCTCTGACTGAGGGCAGAGGGATGTGCCCATCTTATTTGAAGTGCAGCCTTCTGCACTCATAGAGGCACATCATGAATCCCTCCAGCACTCAGAAGAAGCCAATTAAGTTCACAGGAGGTGGAAGGAGGCGGGTGGCCTTCTGGCCCGGCCATCCCTCCCTCCTCTGCCACCATGACAGGGACAGTGAAGAGCTGTGTCAGAGCTGTTTCATGTCCTGCCAGCACAGTCCCCATGGCCTCTGCTCCCTCCAGGGAAGGGGTGGTGGGTCGAGGGGCCCATTCCTGGAGGCAGGATTGGGGCTCAGCACCCCTTGGCAGGGCTGTGAATCTACTGGTGTGACTTGTCCTTACTCCATCCCCTCTTGTGACCACTGAAAGTGTTTTATTTTCCTCCCCCGGATGGTCCTTGGCTGCATCAGCTCTTTTCCTTGCACAATTAGGAAGGCGGCCAGAGACTATCATCACATAGAAGAGGTTCCAAATAACCTCAAAAATAAAAGATTTCTAGCACGTACCCCCATAAACACTGGTTGGGATGAGCTCTGATATTCCAGAACACATTCAAGGACATGCTTAAGCCCCACTGAAGCCTGTGATCTCCTGCAGAGAGGCCACGCTCCCGGAGCAGGAGGTGGAGAGATGCCACCTGGACCATGGGTGGCATTTCTAGCCTTTTTCTACTTTTCAACTGAGATTTCTCAGTTATCTCGTTCGTGCCGAATCGAGCTGATCTCAAACAACCCTCAGTCTCTCATCCTGCTGGTGCACACTGCAAACATCCTATTCTGAGGGCGATGGGCACGGCACAGGTCAGGGAAAGCATCGGAAAACCAAAACATTTTGTGAGGAAAGCCGGCACGTTCCGTGGGCTTTGTGAGAAGCGGGTTCACCTGGAGGAGCGCAGAAAGCTGAACCCCTGCCAGAGGGATAATCTGGTAAACTTCCTAATGAATATTTCTGCAACACAAAGTCTCTTTGTGGATTTAAATTAATCTAAAACACATTCATTAATTCATAGCTAAGAATTGAATTATGTTTTGTTGCTGACCTCCATGTTGTTTGTCTGTAACTAGATTTCCCCTAGAAGGCAGCAGTGCTATTTAATCATAATGCCAACCTTTGGATCTACTTCAGCAGCAATTACCCTGAGCTTTGACTTTGATATAATTTATATTTCAGAACACATCATAAATAACTCTTTCTTCTCCTTTCAGTACGGCTGTGTGAATGTGTGCAAACCCATGGAAATATGAATTGCTGCCTATTTGTCCCATTCCGGCTGCGTGAGTGAATGCTGCTGCCCCGGCCACACGTCCCCGGCCACCCCAGTCTGCCCCATGGGGACACTTTCATGTTCTTGTGGTGTGGGATGAGTGCTGTGTGTGCTCATCATCAAGCTCCACCAGCAATACCACCAGGCAGAGCGGTCCCAGAGGTCCCGTAAGATGGAACCAGCCTATGGACCACAGCTGAGACATGTAGGACAATCTGAGACAATCTAGGACATGTCGCTTCAGTTTCCTGGGACTCAATGCCCAAAATACATTTTAAAAAAGGAAGAAACTTTAAGGAATATTTACTATCCTAACTGCTTGTGTAATAACCGTCCTTACCCCTTAGACTTGGGTGCAGCCAGTCGTCCCACGTTCAGATAATCGTGGCAAGTCTTCTCGTCCCTCTTCTATTCCTTTCAATAATTCGCCGTTTCTTTTAATGGAGACTGGTTCAGCCCCTTGCTTGGATCAGAAGAAAGATGAGGTTAGTCATGTTTCAGTTAGGAAGAGACCAAGGACAAAGTCTAAAAACCAGCACTATCAGATTCCCAAACAATTTAATAAATTTAATCCCAAATCATCAAAAATTCTATGAGATTTCTGCCTTTTTGGATCAAGTAAAATTCCATTAAGCAGGTTGGCTGTTTAGATGCCGACCTTTGGGTTCTGCTACTTTGGGTTCTGGACAGGATTTTTAATGCTTCTATCTGCTTTGAAATTCAGGAAGAAAATCAGTTCTGGGTTCCAGTTTTGGCCACTCTCGATTTTCAACCAGTTATGAGCGTGTCAGCAAAGACCTGCTCATGTGGGAATGGGCTCAGCTTCTTCACAAATAACAGGTATTTCCAGTGCCACCAGGCAAACAACCCAAATCCTGAAAACAGCATAAGTGCTTCATGTCTCAGCTGCTGGCAGCTGTGCTGAGAAACAGCGCTGGTAGCTACAGTGGGATCCCAGCTATCGGGATGCAGGTAGCAGGAGGAGTAACTCCTACTAGAGCAAACCTGGTGGCAAAGGGCATGTTTAGATACTACATGTTTGCACCAGCAAAGGAGTGTGAATCCTAATCATGCTGAGAAACCCCCTCATGTGGGGTGGTGGAAACACCATCTGAATGCACAGGAGGGTTTGCAGGGCTGTGTTCACCAGGGAAAATAAGAGTGAAGGTGCAGCATGAGCTCCATGACGCCATGCTCTTCCAGCTGCTGAAAGTAGGAGTCATTTGCTCTCAGTGAAGTGCAAGGATTTTAAGTGTATCTGTCAAGCCTGGCAGAAGAGGGGAAATGGCAGCAGAAATCTTACATGTGCAATGAGCAGAATTGGGTCTTCACAGAAGCAGTGGGGGTTTTTTACTGTTATTTAGTTTGTTATGGATGAGTTTGACCAAAGAGGATGGCAGATTGCAGAAATTATTATGCATTGATTTTTTTTTAATATTATTTTATCCTAATGTCAAAATGAGACTAAAAAGTGCTTCTGCAGGAGTCCAATGTAGCCTTGCAATTAAATTCAAGTTGCTTTCATGAAGAATGACAGCCCAGCGGTGGGGAAAAAAAAAGCTGCAAAAACAATTTTCAAGACTGTCAAAGCAATCAAGTAACACCCGTTAACTTCTGCTCAGGAACAAAACTTCAGGCCTCTCCCAAAACTTCCTTATATAACCAGCTTTTCCAACTCTGTGCAGATGGAGGGTAGCAGGAGGATGGCTGGTTTGGGCACAAGCCAGGTTCAGGTTGTGCCCATCCAGTGCTTTGCTGTAGTTTTTGCATGTTTCTCTAGGCTCCTTGGAGTGCCTGAAAGGGCAGAATTTGGGTATCTGCACTCAAATGTGAAAACAGACTTGGTTGTTGTCCGTGTCCCCCATCCCTGGATGCTCCTGTGTATGGGATGTGCCTGAGGTGCTCTGCGTTGTGCTGAGGCAGGTGGAGAACCTCTGTGACCTTGCACACCCATGTGGCTCAGCACCTCCACCTCCTCCAGGACAGACCCCTCAAACCCTGCCGAGCAACCAGCTCCAGAAATGCCTTTGACTCTCTATTGCCAACAGCGGATTTGCACCACAAGTTCATCCTGTCGCCATCCACGTGTCAATCAGGGTGGGTTTTTTATTTTCACTGCACTGAATTGGTCACAGACTCCCTGTTTTAGTGACCAGGTCTCACTGTATTGGACCACAAGAAAGCTCCAGGCTCCAGCCATGAGTGGTGATGGAGGGAACCTAAGGGTGCAAAAGCGTATTTATCAACTACAGTTGTATCATCTTTGTCCAACTAGGAAGGCTTCACCTCAACAGGAATGCAATAATCCTGCATGCTGAAGGCCCGGCTTTCATGAGTCTAGTACAAAAACGGTGGCTTCACCAAACCCCAAAGTGTCGATTCACAGAAATGTTTGTCACTTACCAGTAAAATCCAGTAATCGGGTACAAACTCTGCCTTTTGGCTGCCCTGGGGTGGGTGGGTCCCAGATGAGGCAGCCCCAGCCCAAAGCAGGGACTGAAACCCTAAACACCAAAGCCCTAAATTTGTGTATTCAAAAGGATGGAAAATTCCTGTGAATGCTTCATGCTGCTTAGCCCGCACAAGCCGCCTGAAACATGGGGGTTTGATAACATTGGGATGACCCCTGCCTTTACGGTTCAGCAGTTTTTCATGGCAGCTGCTGTCCATCATCTGTTTTGCGCGTTGGCCAGGTGGGCCCAAAAATAAACTCCCTGTTACCAGCCGTGATTATAACCAGCTTGCATTGCAGAAGGGCTCCTGCCATGACCCTCTGCCCTCTCCCATCACTGGGAGAACTCAACCAGTGACTTCTGCGTCAAGCTTAATGTTGTGCAGTTGGGCTGGAGGATCAGGAACTAACCCTGAAGGCTCCAAACAGGAGAGAAGTTACTAATGCTGATCCCTTCAAATTAAAATTCCCGTTCAAGCCAAGCTCCTGCTTCTCACATGGCTCCATCACCCAATTGGGACATCAGTTGTGCCAGAAGTGCCTTTGCTGGCCACCTTAGGCAAGTCTCCCCGTGGCTGATACCACTGCATCACGCTGTGTTTAGGCTGGCACAGTCTTTGGGAACTTTTCACTCTGTTTCTCAATAAAAAGCCTTTGAGTTAACAACCTGCATTTTTTCCATCTGATTATTCTTCATTGGGATCCTTATAAGTGAAGTACCATCCAGAGACAATGGCCATGGCCCATAAATTTAATTACTAACCTTTAATTCATAGGTGGCAGAAACAGTTCTTCAAGCATCTGAGTTAATCAGGCTTTGCTGACAGTGGCAATCAATTGTTCAGCGGTCTACTTTTTGCTTAATTACTGTTGGACTACATTGCATTTTCAAAATGTCAAGCATCCTCTTTTAGAAATGCAATAAATCATTTCTCCTCGGCGTGCAAGGCTAGGATAGGAGACTATTATTCTCTCACACCTGACCTTGTCTACAAGGAGCAGAAATTGATCATTTACTGTAGCAGTGAAATATCATTTAAGGAAAAATGAGTCTTAACTAAGAACTTCAACTCGCTAAAAGGAAGGAGAGTTTCTTTCTGGCCATGCAAGGAGGATGCTGGCGTGGGGATGTGGATCTCTTAAAACTCTTTCATTAAGGAGGCACCATCAACACTGGGGATCAAGTATCAGAGTATGAATTGCAGCAGGAATCCACAAAGCACTTGTACCAAGACTTTCACTGTGTCCCAGGGAGGGATACTCTGATTCTTGTTCTTCCAATATCAGGCCAGGATATTTGTCTGTCAAGCAGAGAGTCATCTAGTCATCTTGGTTTCAAACAGGATGTCTTGGTGGAGGCAATTTAGTCAGTCAGACTGACTTGGAGAAGACAAAACTTGACTATTTGTTCAAAAGTGAGATTGCATTAATTCAGAAGAATTAGGGCACTTCTCAGAGCATGACTTTTCCAAGAGAAACATCTCATGGTCCCACCAGCCCCACCCGTGACCACTCACGCCACAGTCAGTTGCATGAACCTGCATGGGTAGAGGTGGAGGGGCCGTTTGCTGGAGCTGTGGCCTCCAGAGTGCCTGTAGCTCAGATGGACAGAGAAGAGGCAGTTTCTTCACAGCACAGCTCTGCTGTTTGTGCCTCACCTGGACCCGATTCTACCCTAAGAGACTGCTGCCGAGGATAGGTCCATTCCCATTTGTCTCCAAGAAGTTGTGGGCAATTGTTTAATTGTGTGTATTTACAGAGACTAATGCCAAAGAAACCTGCTCTCTGCTCAGTCCCCAGAGACTGATGGGGTAGAAGTAATAAATGACATCTTCCTTGCTGAGAAAAAGGAGGCATTTTCAACAACAAGATTGTGCTCAAGCATGTTGAGAGTGGTACATGGATTGTGGCTAGTGTCAGCCAAGATGATATGCAGATAAAAGACATCCTCTGAGGATGCTGCCAGAAATAAGAAAGAAGGGCTGTGCGGTGAATCATATGGATCAAATTTCCTCTCTCATTGTGTTTTAATAAAAAAGCTTTTCGCCAGCTCCCAAGGGTACCAATGAAAATTTCCTTCAAACCAGAGGTAGGATGGGTTTTTTTGGCTTTTTTTTTTTCATTAAACATACATGCGTTCAGAAATAAGCGTGTTTTCCTTCTGGAAATTGAGCTGATTCAAGCCGGCAGCCAACAGCAAACAAAGTGAAATCAAGAAATGAAAATGAAGCAATAAAATGTTTAGCACTTGCAAGACAATGAAAATCATTTCTTAGAGGAAAAAAGGGAAGGATACAAAAGAAGTCCTTAACCTCAGTTACCATTGCCGTTTTCTTAGCTCAAAACAGATTCAACTTTTCTCCCCATTTATGCCAATGGCATTCGTTTCATCAGGAGTTCGACTGCGTGTGTTGGGCATCACCTGTTGTTTGAAACGTACTGATTTAGTGGCAGCAGAGTGTGATGGGTCGTATGGGAGCTTCCCAACATGAGTATGCCACAAGCTTGCAGGGATCCTGGCCACCAAATTGGGGACATGAGGCACCACCGGGAGAAGACATCCCTGCAGAGCCACCACCGATCATCTGCACATCCCAGTTGTTCCTGCGACTCCAGGGGGGAATCTCAGTGTTGAATAGATTTTCCTCTGCGCGGTGGCCCCAGTTTCTCCACACTGCTGGCCACCATGGCCACCACTGATGCAGCTGCTCCAGGGATTTATGCCCATCTGTCTGTGCCACCAGATTTTGGGACCGAGTCTTTGCTGTTGCAGTTTTTCTAGTTCATATTTCCAGCCATGCCCAAAGGCAGCAGCACTAGAGGGCAGTGCTGAGAAAAAGGAGGCATTTTCAACAACAAGATTGTGCTCAAGCATGTTGAGAGTGGTACATGGATTGTGGCTAGTGTCAGCCAAGATGATATGCAGATAAAAGACATCCTCTGAGGATGCTGCCAGAAATAAGAAAGAAGGGCTGTGCG